ATCGATTTGTTTGCAATGACCGTAGACTGTTCGTCAGTTTTGGAATCCCCCTCAGTCACAGGAATCGCAGGTGCAATATCTGGGCTCTTGCTGTCACCATCGGCCGGAGTGACTCGCTTCCCGACCTGTTCGTCGTTGTCCGTTTTCTTCTTCTTGGAGTCTTCCAACAAGATATCAGGAACCCGGCCTTTGAGATCAATGAGGTTCTCATAAAAGCGCCGCTCATCTTCGTCCTCCCAGATACCAGCGCCTTCTCCTTGGCCGCGCAGATACTCCCCGGCTTTGACTAGGCCGATTCCACCATCGCCTGCAGCCGCAGAGTCATCCTTGTCTTTCAGGTCTGGCATCTCCGCGCCCACAGCATCGGCAAGGACTTGTGCATTTGCGACAAGCTTCTCCTGGGCTTTCGTTTGTTTCTCGTAGTGCGATTGGCGATCCTCAAAGACCTCACCAGAACGAACATAAGCTTCGGCATTGCGCTTGTTCTGCGCTTGAAGCTGTTTCTGATCCCTAAGCAGATGAGTCTTGACGTCCTCGAAATAACGATTGAGGATGTTCCTGAAACGTTGTCGCAGCTCAGGAGACACAATGGGAGGATCCTTGGTCATGGCCTCTTCGTCGTCCGTGCTATTCTCTACGCTTGAGCCTTTGTCCTTGCCAGTGACTGTCGTTCCATCTTCTGTGACAGTCTTCCGACCTTCGCTCCCCGCTGTCTTGACCCCTAGTATATCCCACGAGAATGTCTTGACAAAGATGACCACGAGAGGAAGGTTTGTATGTTCGCGGTCGTGTCCAAGCATATCTTTGAGCACCTCTAAGGGAAAAGGCTCTGCATCGGCTTGGTCTCCGCGTGCTACGCCGGGCGCACCTTTGGACTTTCCTAGCAGTTCACTCCCTTTGATTGTCTCTTTTGATCTTGACGCCTCTTCTGGTTTTGTTGCATCATCGAGAGTCCTCAGAACTTGGACGATCCACAGCTCCGTGGCCACACGAAGTAGAACCCTCTGTCGAGCCAGTCGCTCCTTCTCTTCACGCTCCCGAACATCTGCAGTCAATGTCTTCAGGTGTGACTTGTCCGGAGTGCTCAATCCTCGGCCAATGTACCATCCCATGTATCCTGTAAACTCCGCCGGTCCGAATCGCTGATGTAGAGCGCTGACAATTTCGACCCCAGTGGCGATTTCTCCAGGGGATTTGAGCTTGCACAGGCCTTCGAAACATGCCGATATGATCTCTGAGAGGTATTTGTGGAGCGACAGTGTTCGAATTTCCTGAAGGAATGAGCTGAGGGCGGTGGTGGTGATTGCGGTTCGAATTTTTCGAATGAACGCAGTGTTCTTTTTCATTTCCGAGTTGAGGGACTTTTGGATCGGAAACACATCTATGTCCAAGGTAAACGCAATGTTCCAGGATAGGTACGTGACGTAGTTACTCACCTTGTTCCCCAGCCCAAGTCCGCAAGTTCAATTCACGAAGCTCGCCTGTCGATTGGTTTGTTAGCTGGAGTGATCTGAGCAGAAACTCATGACAGGTTTTGGGGACATACGCTTCCTAATTCGCTCCATGGTGAGCTCTTCCCCAGATGCTGTGGCTGGTGGGGAAGAATAAAAGAAAAGGTGCAGTAGGTGCTAAGGGTCAACCATGTGAAAGGATCGTCGCCGCGGTTGTTTGGCAGCAGATGTGTGCATTTGTCCGAGCTTCCCGTGGCTGGGTTTGTGAGATTATTTGGCGGTGACAGAGATCGGGTGAGAACACGGAGCATGTGGGTGGAAGTCACTGAAGGTGGGCCAGGTGGGTGTAATGTCGGCCTTGGCATGCGCGAGTCATTGCAGACGCGTCAGTCGCGTCTCCGCGTCTACGCTGGTCATTGCTCGGGGCGTCGGGCAGCTTGCTGTGCTGCGAGAACGAACAGCACTCCACCCCACCGACCTCTATACTCTCATTCTGTCATACGTCTGAAAATTGATTACCGATGTAAGACGAATCCAGCTACTTAGTGTGTGTGGAGAATACAACTTGTCTATATAAACCCCATTTCAAGTCACGTCCCCAAAAGAGAGTCTCGTCATCATTGGAATTTCCATTGGATCGATCAGGTTCAACATATAGTCTGGACAGGGCACAACTGATGAGAGTAGTACTTTCATAGCACATCTTCGATTATGCTGATGAGCTGGCAGTCGCCCAGATGAGATGTCGCAAAACTCGAGGCAAAATGGTCAGATATGAACATAACCACAAGCCATTAAGGCATAAACTATCCCGGGTCGCAATACATTTTGTCCATGATAGCTCCACTCCAAAATTTCCCGCTATTAACAAGCCCCACCAAGAAAGTTGTTCCCCTTGCGCCAATCGGCAAGCCATACCATGGATTGTTAGCTGTCCACTCCGTCCTGGGTAGCCATAGGTAGCTCCACTTCAGAGGAAGATCTACAGCATGGCGATAGCAGCAATACCAGCACCGAGAAGACCACCGAGAGCGGCAACAGTCTGCTTGGGTCCACCGCCAGTGGAGGTCGCATCGCCAGCAGCATCAGTAGCAGAAGCGACGACAGACGACGCCTGGGCGCTCAAAGAAGCAAGGTCCGAAGAAAGCGAAGCGCGGTTTGAAGTAAGCGAGCCGGTGGCAGAGGCGAGGGACTCGGAGAGCTGGCTGGCGCGCGAGGAGATGCTGGCTTGTTCGGACGAGAGATCGGAGCGGATGCTAGAGACTCTTGAGCTGGCGTTGCTGACAAAGGAGCTGGCCACGGAGTTGGCATCGGAGGCGACGGAGGAGCCGAAGGAAGAGGCGCCTGAGGCGGCTCCGGTGAAGGCGGTGCTGGCTTCGCTGAAGACGGAGCTACCAGCACTGACTATGGCAGAGGTGATGGAGTCGAAAGCGTTGGAGGAGTCTTGAGCGGTGACCATGGAGGCCATGGTGGCGACGATGATGGTGGAGAAACGCATGTTGAAGGTTGCTTCTGAGGTCGAGACTGGAGATTTGATGACGAGTGATGAGGATTCAACGAGAGTTGAGAAAAAGAAATAGATCTGACGATTGGAGGCCTTTCGTGGAGTGTAGCAGGATGATGGAGAGTGAGTGAAATGAAGATGGAGCAGAAGGGGAGGGAAGGGCCTTATATGCACCGTAGGGGGGCCATAGCTCCCCAATGGAAGGTTTAGCATTTCACTGGCCTATATGGCACAGGCCGACATGTCACTGGTCCAGATTGAAGTCCGGCTGTATCATGTCTGCTATGGTTGATCTCGCCACGACTTACCTGCCGCAGCAAACAACACACGGAGGCTGCACAGCCGCACCTTCTGTCATGTTGACCCATCCCAGCTTGTCTCACGAAAAGCACTCCCAAAATTCCCGAGCGTGTTTCTTGTTTCCCGGACAAGCTTCTCGGTGTTTACGACGGCTTTGGTGACATGGGTGGCTCAGCGCCAAGGGGTGCAGCTGGGATGGTGATGAAGAGCTGGAAGGTTTCAAAAGCTTGCAAGTTGCTGCGCGGTGGAGTCGTGGCCGTAAGGTTGTCGTGCCAGCGCCACCACTGCGTCGCGTCTGGGGTAACCGTACGCTTTGCCCCTTTTGCGTCAAGATCTGCTATGCCATGGCTGGTTGCGGCAAAGGCTGTTGTTGGGGGTGGCGTATTTCTCTCGACGACGTACCGATTCCATTCTACGATTTCTACCTAACCCTGTCCTGTCGAGCTGTCAACGTCACCCAGCGTGTTTGCAAACAAGAGCTTTCTCACAGGCCGGGAGCAGGGGAACCTTGAGATAGCCGCGACGCGTATACCACAGTACAACTCGACATCCATGGAAACAAAATGTTGCATTTCCTCGTCTCGTCTCGGATTACTTTTGCGCGTCATCAACATCAGGCACATCGCTGCAAGTTCACGTTTCCAGTTCCTCCCCCTTCCAGTTTTAACTTTGCAGTCTTTCGACTCCAAGGCCGAGCCCCAGTTTGTCCGCTGAAAGTAGGGACCGGCGCGTTTCTGTTTACGCTCCGCCTCGTGGCAAAGTTGCCGGATGGGAAACGGCGGCCGCGTCTGGTTGGTGATGGATTTGACGCATGATGCGTGAGCTTTTGCTTGCGATACCGATCGAGCTGCGCCGTACCATTCCCGGTTCCAGTCTCTAAAGTTAGTAACTGTGCCTTTCGTACTCGCTGAAAGGACGACTTCCAGCATTTTCTGTTGAAGGTTCCATGGATGAATCGCCTCGGCTTCAAACTCTCCCGAACCGCTTGACTCCCAATGCTGCGCAAAGTAGGAGGTCTCAAAGCGCCGCTCGATTAGAGTGGAGTATCCGACCTCTGAGCCTCGTTCTGTGCATTAGACTTTCGAATATCCGCCCAGCAGTGTTTCTGATAGGGCCGAAGCTTCCAAGATCCAAGGAAGATCGCAAAGCAAGAACAAGCTATCCTGGCCCCTTTTCACCAAGTTGCAAGGGACCACACTTTGCTAGGTAATGCTTCTATGCCTGCCAGCCAAGGCAAGCCGCGTGGACATGCATAGAATCCGATTCCGTGCTCAATCGTCGAGAACTGGTAAGCGACTTCGACGTGAGCATCGTGAACACTGTGACAATAATGGACGAAGTGAACAGAATCAGTACCGGCCCGGCGCAGCAATCGCTATCCTTTGCACGAAGAATGGCTCTCCGGAAAACTCCACGGAAACGGGAAGTTGGGTTATCCACCCAATAACGAATGCGAGATTGCCTTGCCCAATAGCAATTTCATCATAATGCCAAAAAGAGCGAATACATGAAGTGAAAACCGTCAATCTCGAGTGATCAGATAGACCTGCTATCATTCAATTCTATGGGTCCAGCACACGGCTCCGAGTCTGTAGATTGATCAGATCTCATCACGAGATCGCTTACGATGCACGCCTCAAGATCACAATTGGGAAGTCCTTCTGCCGCAGCAAAACAACTCCTTCACACCAAAAAAGCAACCCTTCAAATATCATGCAAACCAAAAAATATCGAAAAAAATTATGCTCCTCGACGGGGAATCGAACCCCGGTCTCCCGCGCTTTTCAGCATTCGCATGTTGACAAGCGGAACTTCGTATTAGGTTAGCGTTGTTGCACCTCTGAGAGGCGGATGGGGTGTGAGCTTACATCATGACCACTAGACCATCGGGGATAACGCTTATTGTTGAAGACTGATTGTTTTGGACGCATTATGAAGACTGCATTGAAGGCTGCAGATGCGGGGCCGAGGAGGGACTTGGAGGACTCGTTTGCCGGGGATCCAACGGCTTCGCTGATGAGATGATGGATTTGCTGGCGCTTGATTAGAGGACAGGGGATTTTGATGGTTTGTGCGACGTTTCGGCCCGGCTGGTTTGAAACTTTGAAAGTCACGGGATGGCGCTCGAACCACTTCCTGTGTGCCAACGACACTTCATGTTTTCACACTCTCCTTTTTCATCAACCAGCAACAAGTCCATGCAATCAGCACACCATAGTCCATCGGCGAGCAAGGAAAATTGTTAGTTGACTTATACACAGCGGAGCGTATAGAAATGCGTAAAGTACATCGAAGATCTGTAAGGTCAGGATAAGCTCGACCGCTCATGGAAAGACATCTATCCGGAATGTATCTGGGATGACTTCAGGAGTTTACGCGGAACCACTTCAACAATCGTATTGGCATTTGAGGCCTCTGAGCATCTGTGCCTACTATGACAGCGACCTGGACTACTGTAAATGCGATGGCATGTAAAACGAGCAGTCACAGTTGAGGTTCAATTATTCACATCAGAAAAAGGAGGCGATTCATGATCGAGAACTTCCATTCGATCTATTTGGACGCTAAGATCCTTCAGATCTGAGTATTTTGCACGCACATATCTGACCACTCCATCTCCCCAGCCATCTGCCTATTACCCATCCCATCGTCATCCCAGAGGCTCTAAGGGAACCCAACAATCGTCTGAGGGTTCCAGAACAAATTGTAGGGATCCACCAACCGCTTGATCTCAACGAGGCGGTCATACAGCTCTTGGCCGTAGTAGAGCTGGTACGCCTCCTCTGCGGACAAGCTCGGATCCACGTAGTTCAGGTAGGCGCCGAAATCCGTTCGATTTTGCGTCACCGCCTGGCTCAGCCCGGTGATGAAGTCCATGCCCTCCTGCGGCAGCGCCGTTTGGTTCTCCTCCTTGAACACATAGTGTTGGAAGACCCACAACGACTTGCGATCCGAGTAGGCTGCAAAATCCAGATCCTTGGCGTTGATCTTGCTGCCCGGGCCGCCGTAGAGATTCAAGATGGAGAACCAGGGAGCGGGCGGGTTGACTCCCTTCGCGATGATGTACGAGAAGTATGATACGAGGTTCTCGCGGGTCAGTGGAGCGTGCTCGGGGACGGTGATGGACTTCGCGAAGAAATTGTCGTGAAGGTCGTAACCGTGGGCGGGAACAGAGAGGGAGCCGCCCGCGAGGAGCTCGAGGGACTCCAGGTATGTGTGTTTATTCACCATGGAAGTGCTGGGCGTAGGGAGGCCACGGAGGAGCTCGGCTGCGATGACGGAATTGAAGTGATCAAGGTCGCCGAAGTAGCTGCCTCGGAGGAGGAGCACTTGGCCGTCCTTGAAAGCTTGTTAGGCTACGGCCAGGTAGATGAGCGAACAATAACTTACCAAGTACATTCCGAAACCAAGGTTCGAGTCCACAACGGTAGAGTTGCGAACAAAGTCCTGGACGTGGAGAAAACCATCGGCGAGATTTTCAGCAGATCCATAGAGACCCGCGAACTCAAAAGCAAAGTCGATAACTGAAGGTGGGGCCTGGATGGTGTTCAACCAGAACTTGGTGACGATACCAAAGGAATCGGCGGCACCACGCATGGCCTTGAGAAGAGAATCGTGTAAGTAAACTGCAAGTGAAATGGAAGGAACACTGCTTACATAGTAGACCTCAGGATATTTGTCCGGAGTGGCGTGAACCATGGACCCATTGGAGAGCACAACATCGAGGGCGTAGATGTGATCCAAAGCGAGACCCCAAGCGCGAGACTGATAACCGAAGCCGCCGTGGGTGAAGTGGCCACCGACGCCGATGCTGAGAAAGAATGTGAGTATTGAGATCAAGAAAACTTGATTCACTTCACATGAAGTGAGGAGTGAATGGAAGAATAGTGTAAACTCACCCAGGACAGGTCCCATGAGCCAGACCACGTTTGCCACGAGCGTAGACTGCAGCGGCGAGAGTACCGATGCGAACCCCGGCGCCAGCGGTAACAGTGCCCTCACCTCCGACATTGATGTCTTGGAGGTTCTGCAAGTCAACAACCATGCTGCCATTCCGACCACCAGAGCTGAACGAAGCGTACGAGTGGCCACCACTCTTGGCCTGAACCTTCGTGCCACACATGGACGCACAGCGCATGGCAGCGTGGAGCTGCTCCTCGACCTTATCATTGTCAGGAATGACAACGACGGCAGGCTTGTACCAAAGACGCAAGTTGTACGGCTTTGTGAGGTTGTTGTAGTCAGGCGAGGACTCGACGCTGAAGGGGACGTTGTATGAGGTGAGGCACTCCTCCACACATGCGCCAGTGACCGCCGCGGCGGCAACGAGAAGAATCGACTCAAGCAACATGGTGCTCGTCAAGAGAGTGGATGGGTAGTAGTAATGGAAGTAAGGAGTGGTGTGGGGTTGTGGTTGTGGCTGTGTGTGGAAGAGGAAGTTGTGGGTGCAGGTGGTTGTTGTTGAAGAGAGAAGGTCAAGAGGTGGAGAAGGCGAGCTCGAGATGCCTTTTATCCACGCTGAGAGAAGCGAGCAGGTTTCCCATCAACTCTGATTGACGCTGATCCACATTGGGACTGTACACAGAAAGGGGAGAGGTGAAGGTAGGCTCTTGGCGGAAGATCATGTGTGTGCTGCTAGCATTGATTTATACGGAGGAAACATGAACAGTCTGGGTCGGTGACCAAACCGCTACGCTTGAGCACATTGATTCCTATAAACCTGCCGTGGGAGGGATTGATTTGAAGTATAATTCGACACAGAAAATTGCTGATTGATCTGGAAGGGGATACTGTGATTGGGGTTAAAGTTGTCCCAGCACGTGAGGTGTCCGGCTCTACCAGGTTGACTTCACTTCACTTCAGAGCTCCCAAGGATTTTATGAAATGAGCTGTTTTCAGACTGCATCTTTGCTCCCGCGTTTGGCCATAAATCCCTCGTACTAGTAAACACAGGAGATTAAGAAAAACTTATCAGCAATCATGAGGCCGTGTTTGGGAGCGTTCTAGACAGCCAAATCTAAGAAAATACCAGATATCTAAGGTGATTCTCAAAACTTTAGTCGTGGGGGCAAGCGCGCCGAAAGGTTTGATATTCGCAAATCCGATGGTTGGACACCTGAGATTATTCATCCGACCGACGTCCAGCGTGAATCCAATGGTTAGATACCTGAGATTATCCATCCGACCGACATCCAACTAACCTGTTTTTCTAGCGAGGACTTCTAGGGGCGGCCGAGATACATACCAGAACCTGTAGCACCACCAGATGTCCAAGGCGACTCTTTGAAGTGACATGTAGCTGTAGGCAGACGACCGCTGTGAGATCCGATATTTGCAAATCCGATGGTGTCGGGAAACCTTTCTATGCATAGAAGTAGATATAGCGGATAGACACACGCGAATCACTTGACACAAAGCTCGCCGCTGTCGATGGTGACAGTGGAGCCTCTGTATGTCTTTGAATTCGTGTTGATTGTCTTGTTCTTCATTCAAGGGGGCTATCGAAGTGTATATACAAAGGAGACGGAGAGTGATGTGGCGCGAGCTAGCTCGCGCCACACTGCTTGGTACTGTGATAACCAATACACGTGATTCCTATTGAATATTTACCGACAGATGGTTAGATACCTGAGATAATCTATCCGGCCGACGTCCGGCTAGCCTATGTATCCAGCGAGGACTTCTAGGAGCGATCAAGATATAGACTAAGATCTAGGAAAATATTAGATGTCTAAGGTGATTCTCAAAACTTTAGTCGTGGCGGCAAGCGCGCCGAGAGGCTTTATATTCGCAAATTCGACGGCTAGGCACTTGAGATTATCCACCCAGCCGACGTCTAGCTAGCGTATATATACGGCGAAGAGTTCCAGGAGCGACCGAAATATAGAAGGCGGCTAGATAGGAAGTTATTCCTAGCTGTAGAAGTATAACTACCGCGAGACCCCATTTTAACCAGTTCAGTTAGTTGGATACCTGAGAATATACACCTAGCCGATATCCAGCTAACCTATGTGTCCGGCGGGGAGTACTAGGAGCGACCGAGATCGATATTGTGATTAGGAAAACATTAGATGTCCAAGACGATCTGTGAAAGTGTACCCACACCGTGAGACCTGATATTCACAATATCCACGGTTGGATACCTGAGAATGTCCACCTAGCCGATATCTAGCTAGCCTGCATATCCGGCAAGAAGTTCTAGGAGCGACTGAGATATACGGAGACGTGGGGTGAATCCAAACCTTGAAGGTACTTCCAAGAAGTCCAGCCGTGGGAAGGAAATCGTCGCGAGGCCCGAGATTCGCAACTTTCGTGGTTGGATGCTTGAGAATGTATACTTACTGGTTTGTACATATTATGAGGAGTGATAGGAGCAACTGGGAAAGTCAAGACTTGTAAAAAATCCAAACTTCTAGGATGACTGCTCAAAGTCCAGCGGTGTGAGGAAGAACGCCGAAAAGCCGGATACTCAGAAATATCTATCCGGCCGACGGCTCGCCGGCTCGTGCTTCCTACGAGTAGCGCTGGGAGCGAGCGGGATAGAAAACCCCGGTCAGGCCGTAAAAAGGTTTGGAAAGACAGACTGAGAGACTAAGGGACTGAGAAAGTGCACGAGAGATGGAAGAAATGACTTGGTCACAAAGGCATATGGTACAATCTAATCAGAGCGTATGCACAGATTTCTCCTGACGTCGTTCATCCTGATCCAGCCATTCCCAGCCATCTCGGCGACTAACCAGCCTATCACTGGTATCATAGAGCCTTGATGACCGCCTCCGCATACTCGTGTGTCTTTGCCTTGCCTCCGAGATCACCGGTAATCGTCTGATAGGGGTTTTAGCTCATATACCACGATGGATTTGAGAAACTGATTCTTACCTTGCCCTCTGCCA